TTAACAACTACAAGCGACCAGGAAAACGACTCATTTCGAGTGTTAGTAATCGATAGGCGGGAGTGAGGCGGGTGGTGACACTGGGTAGAGTGGGCTATGCTTAGGCAACTGGTATGAGATGAATGGGGATTTACAACCGTGTCAGAGTTCGGACCAGCTTGGTAATGAGGTTACGCTGACTGCAGAGCTGTTACGCGTTGCAAGTCGCGATGGAGAGGCGATTACACTGGTAGACGCTCGTGCCTTCAGTCTACCAACACACAACCTCTTCAGTGGCTCGGCGGAGAGAGACGATGCAGCGAATATCATGCAGACATAATGCGAATAGAGGTGTGCGCTTGTAGCACCTTGGGTGTATTTGGACTGAATAAAGTAAGGGGGGATGTGTTCGTAGACTGCATTTTGCAGCTTTCTGTCATTGACTGTGGCTGCCTCACAGCCATGAGGAATGGTCGATTTTGCTCCGTCATGGATGCGAAGGTTGCTAATTACGGCCTCCTAAGTTGACATGGTAGCGATAGCGTGGTTACTCTCAGGGAACAAGCTCACAGCAGTTCGGACGTTCGCTATATGGTCCAGGTCACCGTTCACGTTGAACTACTACTGAAACTACGCGAAGCGTTTAAAACGCTGATGAAAAAAACACGCGACCTCAACACTTCTCCAGAGAGATGAGCGTAAAACAAGATTCGCGTCGTACCCGCCACGTTGCCACGTCATACACCACGACTTTATCGAATAAAGCATTGCGCGACAAGTCCCGCAGGCTACGTGGATTGGGAATACGATTATCATGCACTGCCACAGCGAGTTAATCACACACCTCACTCCGGTTGTGTAGACTCCAGACAATACACTTCTCGTGGTGCCGAGTTAGTAATAAAAACGTTCGGCCTCCACTCCTTACCTTTTACTGTCCGGGCTCAATAGGTCTATGGCCCCAGCCGGTACTGCCGGAACGTACCCTGGGTACGGTCCGCCGTATACTCAGAACGTACCCTCGGTAAACTATCTGATATGGTTAGGGTTGATGCGGTAAGGAGATAGGCGTTAGGCGACCTCCTACGATCGTATAGTGGAGGTAGGCGAACAGGTCACGGTCCGCGCATGATAGATAAGTACCAGGGTACGTTCCCCGCGAGTACCCGGTTGGGGCGGCGACATTTAGCACGCCTCTCTAGCTTTACTGTCTGTGTGAAACTGAGGAAGGCGTTCTCAGTTTCGTGGTGCAGCGTTTGCTGCCAGCCGTAATGCATGCAGCTGATAGAGTCAACTCAGTGAGATGTTTTCATTGCCGTTGGGTTAGTTATTTACATTATCAATGTCTGCAATGCCATACTGGTTCATCACTAAGCATTAGTTACAATTCACGAAGATCAAGTTTATCATGTGTGATGCATTAAAACAGAACCAGTTGTTTTAATGCGCATAAAAGTCACGTGCGTGGCAGATGGAGAAGGATATTGATACCAGCTCGTATTGGTGAGATCTATGAGCGAAGAACAAAATCAATGAGCAAGAAAAAATCAATGAGCCAATAAACAAAATCTATGAGCAAAGAAAAAATCCACATGAGCCCAAATAACAGAAATCTACTTGAGCCAATATAATCAAAATCAATGATAGCCAATAACAAAATCTATGAGCAAAGAACAAAATCTATGAGCAAAGAACAAAATCAATGAGCCAATAACAAAATCTATGAGCCAATAACAAAATCTATGAGCCAATAACAAAATCTATGAGCAAATAACAAAATCTATGAGTTGTTAATAGCAATAGAAGAGCAAGTATTGCGAAAGGTTACTATATGCGCACTTAGCTTGTAGGTCTTTAGCTTAAGTTGGCTGAATCCTCCTTATTTCGACCTGTATGCTACTGCTGGCACACTCTACGGATGCTGGTCGGGGTTCGAGAGTATATATATGAGTATATTATGAGTCTCTCATATATACTCTTATACACACTACGGTAGGCGCAGAACGGGGTTGCTATTTATCGAACCCCGACCAGCCAGTCGCGAGTGCCTGAGATTGTATCTATGCTGAGCAACAGCGTTATGCAGTAGGCCTATTAGTATTACAATTAATATTATTAGTTAGGTACGGTGATGGGCGTTGACAGTCAGATATGCGGTAGCCGTTAACTTAGTACGACTACGAGTTTCCTCTGACCAAAACCTAGCTCTAGTACTATAGGCTAGCCCTTCGCTCCGCCGCAGTTATTACGTTATTAATTTTTTTTATGATCAGGATTGAATTTTGCAAACGAGATTGCACGGCTAAATGTGGAAATCCAACGTTTGCTAGCCCTACTCAACTTGTGACTTATACCGCGTTCACACGGTCATGGTTTGGCTCGAACCAAATGAGCTAAATTTGGCTCGGGCTAAATTTGGCTCGGGCCGATATGAGTCGGAGCGTTCACACGTACGCAAGTGAATACTGCATGTCTGTCAAATTCAAATTCAAATTCAAATAATTTTTATTGCACAAATCTCTCACAGATACTTTGGCAGTATGTCGCGAGATAGCGGATTCAAAATGGCCGCCATAAAATAATTCAATAAGCTCTTTCATATTAAAACAGGACACACAAGTTCTAATTATAATTACAACGGCCATATTGAATTCAATATGGCGGCCATGACATTTTACTCTGTACTTCAAAATGATCAATGACATAGTATAACAGATATAAACAAACATGGTGAAAATGTTGAATTATCGGATTTTCTCAATATATCATAACAAACACAATGCCAAACTGGCAATCCCCAGTGTGAGAGAGAGATAATTCAAGACAACAAGTTGTAGTATACAGTACACAAGAACATGTATGGCAAGCTAAATAATACTATTCTTTAAGTTAAACAAATGTCTCGAAACTGCATTGTCCACAAGTTGTCGCAGATTGTCACTCAGTGCGGTAACATGTACCTGCACAAACACAAATATAGTACTTGTATGTACAGTATAGTATCTGTTATGTGCGTGCGTTATCGCGGGCGTATAGGTATCTGTTATGTGCGTGCATGCGTGCTCGCGCGCGTATATAGCTATCTGTTATGTGCGTGCGTGCTTGCGCGCGTATATAGCTATCTGTTATGTGCGTGCGTGCGTTCTCGCGGGCGTATATAGGTACCTGTTATGTGCATGCGTGCTCGCGCGCGTATATAGCTATCTGTTATGTGCGTGCGTGCGTTCTCGCGGGCGTATAGGTACCTGTTATGTGCATGCGTGCTCGCGCGCGTATATAGCTATCTGTTATGTGCGTGCGTGCGTGCGTGCGTGCGTTCTCACGGGCGATATAGCCTTCTGCTTATGGTGCGGTGCGTTCTCGCGGCGTATCGCTATCTGTTATGGCGCGTGCGTTCTCGCGCGCGTATATATAAGGTACCGGTTTATGCGCGTTGTGTTCTCGCGCGGTTGGTGTGAGTGCGGTGCCGTGTTCGACGTACACGTTGGCTGTTGGCTGTGCGTGCGTGGCGTGCTGTGGAGTGTGCAGGTACACGTGCGTTGCGATGCGTGCGTATGCACATATACGTGAGCTACGTGGTGGTGAACGCTACACCTGGTGCATGCGTGCTTGCGTAACAGCTCCGTGCCGTGTGCAGGTACACATGTCGTGCATTGCGCGCTGTGCGTGCGTCTTGGATGTATCACGTGCGCGCGCATGCGTGCTTTGGATGTACACCTTGTGCGCCGCTGTGCGTGCGTTTGGATGTACACGTGCGCACGTGGTACTGCATATGCACGTACACATGCGTGCATTGCGTGGATGTGCGTGCGTCGTGCACGTCTACGTGCGCGTGCATGCGTGTGTCGCCGTGGCTGCTGAATGTGCCACGTACACGTGCTGGCTGCGTGGCGTGCATGCGTGAATGTGCACGTACACGTGCCGGGCGTGCCGTGCGTGCGTGTGTAATTCACCTGGTGCGTGCATGCGTGCCTCGTCGTGCGTGTGCACGTACACGTGCGTGCGTGCTGTGCGTGCGGTGTTTGTGCGCGCGTCGTGCAGGTACACGTTCGTGCGTGCGTGCGTAGCGCAGTACGTGCAGTGCATGAGTGCGTTCGTTGTGTGTGCCGTACCCGCTGGTGCGCGTGGTGGCGTTGTGTACGTACACCGTGCCGTGCGTGCGTTGGGTGTGGAACTTACACCGTGCGTGCAATGCTGTGCGTTGCTGTCCGTGTGTGTGCACGTTACACGTACGTGCTGGTGCATGTTGTGCGTGCGGTGTACAGGCTACACATTCGTGCGTGCGGTGCGCTTGCGTGCGTCGGTGCAGGTACACATTGTGCATGTGTCGTGCGGTGGGTACGTGCGTTGGTGCGCAGGTACCGTGCGCTGCGTGCGTGCATGCGTGCATGCGTGCGTGCGTGCGTGTGCACGTACACGTGCGTGCATGAGTGTGCGTGTGCGTGCGTGCGTGCGTGTGTACGTACACGTGCGTGCGTATGGTTGTATCGAACAATATCACGCATCTGCTTGCTGCCAACCGTTAAACTGCGCATGTGCGCATATGACGTCAATGTTTATCAACATGAAACACTCATCATGAACGTGTACGCTCTAGGTTTTACTGACTCATGTGTAACTGGGTTATGTAAAACCCTGCCATATATTGTATTATTACTGTGTTTTATTATGTAGTCGTTCTGAGTGAACATGTAAATTCTAGTTATTTCATTGATCTATAGGACAATAAGCTAATTTCACATCTCAAAAAGTGGTGCATTGAGGGTAGAAATTTTCTGGCTACAAAACAGACTACTAGTATATAAGGTCAAAATTTCGACTATGTGGTTCACAGTGCTTGCTTTAGCACTTTTCAATTTTGTACAAACCATTTTTACACCCGACAGTGCCATATATCTTGTAGCCGCCTAGAATGTTTAAGTTATAAAAAAAAGTCCATAGCATTTCCTGATGAGAAATTGATGTTATGTCAGTGTATATTTCTATTGATGTTACTAGTTGAGTATTAAATTGAAATTTCATTTCAGATGTCATTAGGAGAAGGACTTGCATATAACTACTATGCCGGCTACCTAAATCTGGTATTGCATAGTGTGGCAGATAGGATCAGCAGCAGTGAATATGGCAAAAGCACAACAAATAAGAAGTTGTTTGTTCTAATCCCTGCTAATGGTGAGATGCCAGGGAAGCTGCAGGACGCCGACAAGAGCATACGACAGGTTGGAACGTTAGATCCATTGATGATAGACAGAGCTGGATTCAAAAGAAAGTACCCTAACAACGTCTATGGATTAGTTCGTAATGAAAAGGTAAGCACAAATGTCAAGTGGAATGAGTTTGTTCATAGAAGTGAGGCCTCGTTTCGAATCCCACATTTAGGAGTTACCGATTTAGAACTAGCTTGACGACCGAGGGCCATCTAAAGGGAAATCTTTCTACATCTGGTTACTATAAACTTCAGTAATCATGTATCAGTGTGATTAGATGCAACTACAGGAATGTGTTATTAATATGATTACTACATGAATATTAATTACTGGAGTATAAATAAAGTATGCAAAGTGGCACTAATGTATTATATATCGTAGCTATATCGAATTGTATTTACAGTTGTTTTGATAATATTTTAGGAGGTAACGTTCGTCGCTGACATGCCAGCAAATCTGCTCACGCTCCGAGACATGACAGAAGATTTCGAGCTGACTGGCTTCACAGAGCAGAGTAGTGTGTGTGCAGATGAAGCGCGTTTGTATCCGCATCTGAGTGGAATAGTTTACCTCCTGACGTTCGAGATGCCCCCACCATTTCGTCTTTTAAAGTCAGTCTAAAGATAATCTTGCCCTATTAATAGGGCCCATTGTGCTCTACTTACCCCGTACAATTTTAGTCCAAGTAGGGCTACTTCAACTCTTATTGTGTATTTATTTAATATTTAACTGTTCTATTGCTGTGAGACGGTTATTATGTGGAAGATAGGTCCGCGCCATTTTATTGTGTCTGTACCTAATGTTTTATCGTCGTTAAATAAAGTTTTTACTTACGTACTTACTTACTTACTTACCTATACTTACTTACTTCTATGGTATGTCACAGTATAGTGTTTTAGTTCCAGTTTGGAGATGTGGTAAAAATGGTGACACCTTCTTCTAAATCTATGCGACACACGTAATAGTGCGTGCGTGATATATGCGTCATGGGCAGAGAGCCTCTCCTAACGTATTGCGGCATATGTTTTCCTCGCTTACCTCAGTTACTTATTACGTTAGCTTATTTTTTTATTTTGCCCCCAAATCTGGAGGCGCCTGCCCCCCCTTCCCGCAGGAGGTTATGCGGCCCTTGTAGCAACCCTCGACGTACGTGGCCCACCAAATCATTCAGATGACCTAAATAGAATCTCTCCGTGTGAGCAAAAAACTACGAGGTTATGTTTTCTTATACTAGTATATCTTTATTTGTACTTGGTTTGACCTTTTCGGTTTAAACCCCGTTCGGTGATTCCCCGGTGATTCCCCCAACCGCTTTTACTGCGGTGATTCCCCGTTCTACTGGTTATTCCCTTGCATATATGCATATATATATATATGCATAATATCAAGAGTGTATCAAAACACTCCTGATAATATCAAGAGCAGATAAAGAAGATATCTGCTCTTGATAATATGCACGCCTCTTCTCTGTAGATGACGACATTATCAGCGAAACTAAGCTTGCCGCAGCTGACTCACGATACTCAGTGCCCGTCTAACGTAGGCTCCCGAGAGGTGGCGTGACGTAGGTAAGTATGGTTTCGTCACACTATAAAAACAAAGTCATAATTATATAATATATTAAACGCGACCAGGCTCTACTACTGTTGGTTTACACGGCGTACGACGATCGACGAGTGAACTTAAGCGAGAGCAAAAAACTACGAGGTTATGTTTTCTTATACTAGTATATCTTTATTTGTACTTAGTTTGACCTTTTCGGTTTAAACCCCGTTCGGTGATTCCCACCAACCGCTTTTACTGCGGTGATTCCCCGTTCTGCCGGTGATTCCCCGTTCTGCCGGTGATTCCCCTTTCTGTCGGTGATTCCCCGTTCTACTGGTTATTCCCTTGCATATCCACGCCTCTTCTCTGTAGATGGCGACCTTATCAGCGAAACTAAGCTTGCCGCAGCTGACTCACGATACTCAGTGCCCGTCTAACGTAGGCTCCCGAGAGGTGGCGTGAGTCGTGACGTAGGCAAGTATGGTTCCGTCAAAAGTCATGAACGCGGTTTGCG